TTATCCCCTTTTTGAACTTTTGCCATCTGGCCAGCAGTACAGAGCCGCAAATACCAGGACAGCCAGGCACAAGAACAGTTTCTTCCCCCAGGCAATCTACCGCATGAACAGTTAAATGTTCCCCACGTTATGCAATAAAAATGTGCAATAACCTTATATTTATTTGTTACCACCTCCATCTTAGTACATCCCTGCATCTCATTCTATTCTGTTCCATTCTATTATCTATAGCAAAACTGTACATACAATTTATTTATTATTATTATTTTTTTCAATATTTGTCTATTTATATTTACATATGTGTGTTCTCTTGCAGCGTCTCATTCATGAAACGACTTTCTAAAAACACTGCGCTCAAGTTAAAATAAGTTCACTCCCATCTTCTTGCATGTTTTACCTATTCCACTGCCCGCGTTGCATCTTTGTCAACACAAAAGCGCATTCTGTGTGAATAGGCTTAGCCTATATTTATGGTCCTTCACAGAGAGCGTCACACGTGAGCGGTTAATCACGTGCGCCGACATGAGGTTGGATCGTTCTTTTCTCTTTACTGTTATCACCGGCATATTGTCAAAGTGTCTAATTCTAACATCTCGCGATTCCTCGATTTCTAAAAAATAAAATCGTGGCAAAACAATAAATTCGAATTAATTGATAAAATCGGGGAAATCGCCCAACCCTACGCTACGCCTACATCATCCGCCATAATGAATGCGCATACAACAGTTAGCGGAAGCTAGAGATTACGGTTTATAAAGTTTTAAATATAGATATTTTTCTTACACAAACGCATCGATTTGTTTCAGGAGGCCTTTATTCACCCCCCAGAGCCGTGTGAGGCACTTTTTATGACGGATGGATGCACTTTATTGGACTTCTTTTAGACTACTGAAAAATAACATCCATTCACTTGCATTATAAAGCTTGGAAGAGCCAGGACGTTTTTTAATATAACTCCGAATGGATTTGTCTGAAAGAAGAAAGTCATACACACCTAGGATGGCTTGAGGGTGAGTGAATCATGGGCTAATTTTCATTTTTAGGTGAACTATCCCTTTAAGTCACTTAAAATTAACTTCTTGTTTATTGAACTGTTCATCAAATCAATATCACATTTGCAATCGTGCTGATATTTGGAGAAAAAACGTCACTCTTCGTGTGATATTAACTATATCAGATGATATAAATATAAAAGACATAAAAGTTATACATGGGCATTTTTGCCCCCTTATCTTGAATTTTGGGGGAAATGTAAATGTATTTTAATAGACTAAAGCCCCGTTCACACCAAGAACGATAACTATAAAGATAACAATATTAGCATCCACACCAGCGAACGATATCGTCTGTTTATTCCAAGCGCACATGCGTCTGCCGCTTTAAATTCTTGAGCTCGTTACAGCAGGATGGATTCTGATTGGCTGTCAGTGTTTTATCGTTCATCAGCTGGAAAAAAAAATTGTTTTGAAAGTGATCACAACAATATCGTTCCTCTGTATCGTTTTCGTTATAGTTGTGGTGTGAACTATGCTATTCTTTAATATTGAGAATGATTTTTAGAACTATATCTTTATCGTTATCTTTATAGTTATCGTGCTTGGTGTGAACGGGCCTTTTATCTCGCAGTGAAAGCATGGACTCTAAATGTGGTCTAACCTACATCACGTAGTGTATGCCTGCACTCTCTGGGTGTGTTTTTGCTTGGTTTTTGCAATATAATATTATAGTTATATTATAATGATAGTGTCAAATCGCATATAGTTTTAACAAAAATTACGATAGTATTGTATATGATATATATCGCACACCCCTACCCGAAACAGTTGAAATTAAACTTTTTCCAAGTGAAATTAGGTATGTTTGTTATAACTATAACTTCTGTCATCATTTATGTGAATGAATTTTCATTTTTAGGTGAACTATTCCTTTTAAAACACTACTGTTCAACAATGTGGGATCAGCAAAAATACTTTCTTTAATAAATTAATACTTTTTTCAACAAAAATGCATTAAATTGATCAAGTGACAGTAAAGACATTTATAATGTTACAAAAGATTACTGTTTCAAATAAAATATATATTTTAAAACTTTCTATTCGTCAAAGAACCGTTTCACGGTTTAAATAAAACTACTAAGCAGGGCTACTGTTTTCAACATTGATAATGTTTCTTAAACAGCAAATCAGCATATCAGAATGATTTCTGAAGGATCATGTGACACTGAAAAATAGAGTAATGTTGCTGTTGAAAATATATTAAAACAATTGCTCAATATTACTTTGTGGGCCTTTGTGAGCTTAGGAGATTTAAAAAAAAATATTTACCAAATCTTACTGACCTCAAACATTTTAACGGAGGAGTATATGCTAATACTGGTCGCCTATTAAGATCATTGGAACAAACTGATGCTTGTCTATCGATAATTGTGTCTATAATGAGTTCCTAACCACAAACTGCAATTATAGAAGATCTTTCCACACAAACAAAAAAAAACAGCATGTAAGGGTAGTTTGTTTAGGAGCAATCAAGTGTGGCACATACTGTACTGGGCTTCAACATTAGAAACGTTTGAGAAAAGCACTTAAATCGAAATAGTAACAAAATCCTGAGGGATGTTGTACTGTTTATTCACAGACTAGCATGTTTGACATTTAAAAAGGGATTTCTTACATTCCAGAAGAGGATGCTACAGTGCCTGCAGAACTGCAGAGTGTCTCCGTACTGTTCTTTCACAGGGTAGTATTTCTGAAGTGTGAAAAACATCAGCTTCCAGTCCACATGGCCCTTCTCTGACAGAATCAAGTGCCTGCAGAACTGAACACACACAAACAGAGAGCTCTGTGAGGAACAGAGGCCTCTCTCACACGCTTGTGTACATGACTGCCATCTTGTGGCCAAATTAAGTGACTGACCCAACTTTCAGCAATTTTGAATCTCCAAAAAGACTCACATTAAAGAATCTCAGATAAAACCTCATTCACAAGTGCTTAAAACGAACAATATTATCTGGGCAATTCTTTAATTAGGAGCACCTTTGACTACTTAAAATCTTGAAAAGAATGAAATATTGATATAGTATGTGTGAATTTGTGTGTGATGGTAATGACGTTTATGACTGACTTAAATTCTTATTCCTCACCTGTTTCTCGGCGAAATGAAACTGGCACAGTTTCTTCCACAGTTGCTGGTCCTCACTGAGCATGTGCAGTGTTGGTGTGGTTTGTCCCAGACTGATGATGTCACAGGCATCACTAAACTTGAACAGGATGTTGTTTTGCATGTGCAAAGGAAGGTCGCTCAGTGTCATGCCATTTGAAACTTGCTGCAACAAGACATATTTAGCATTATATAAATATAGAGAGAAGATTGTTGGCTACTACAATCACAAGAAATACAAGACTCAACAGCTGTCTTTGGTCCTAAAAGTTAATCAGACAGCAGAGCTGATTCATTTGTTAGATAAGCACAGCATCTCGAGAACAGCTTAAAGACTTTTAGTTCTTACTGTCACATACGGAAGCCTATGGAGACCACTGATTATTCTTTTTCTGCATTTTTATGATATTTAGTAATATGGCTTTAATATTAAAATGCATATTTTTAAATATATTTATTTGTATTCATTATTTATTATTATTTGTATTTATTTATTATTTAGTAATGCTTAAGTATTAATTAGATTATTGATTTATTCATTTAAGGTTATTATTTACTATTTTTTATTAATTATATATTATGTAATAACATTTCATTATTTATATAATAAATGTATACTGTAATAGGGCTGGGTTTATTGAGTTTGTACAATGTATCAATATATTCTTTATAAGCAATATTGTATGAGGCAATACAGATTATATAGATATACAGTAGTTTGATACGAGTGCATCTGAAGCTGCTGCACGGGAAAGCACATAATCCAATTTGTCCTAAACATCAGACATGCTTTATATTAAGAACTTTTTAAAAAACTTGTAAGATATAGTTAACACGTATAGTTTAAAGTGGTTGTAAAGTGATTTTAACCCCTTTTTTGCTCATGATAGCCCATAGTCTACATGGTTACGTTCACTATATTTGTTTTCATGGCCTTTAATATAAAAATCGTTTCATTGGACAACATTGGGAAGTAAGTAAGTAAATAAATAAATACAAATTAAATAATTTTTTTTTTTTTTTAATCCAAATACAAAAATGTATAAAATACCGAAATATATGCCGTATATCGCAATTCAGCCAAAAAATACTGAGATATGATTGTTTTTGCCATATCGCCCAGCCCTCCTATACTGTAACAAATTTAACATAAAAATTAAAAATGCTACGATATACAATAATAATATAATCATATTATTTAATAATCATCCCACTACTCACAACTAGATGTGGGCTGACTGACCTGTGCATTTATACAAATAATTTTTTTTTTTTTTTTTTGGTGCTTTAAAGGGGGTTAGACAACTCTTTCAATAAACCCACTGACCAACTGATTTTTGCTTATGCTTAACCCATAAGACTGTGAAAAAGACTACCTTTGGAATTTGCAAATTGTTGAGCTGCTGTTGCCAGTTTAAGATGGTTTCTAAACGGCAGACCCAAATGTTGATGTTGCCAATCAGCACACACTTCCCAACTTCTCGGATGAGGATGCAGAGAGTGGAGCTTAGATCATTCAGCAACGCCTTGATCAGACGTGGGTTATGATGGTCATCCAGAACTGTACGATTAAAAAAAAAAAAAATATATGCATATATATATTTGTATATGCACATATATTGGGACAATATGTCTTCCGCATTTTCTATGTAACTGGATAAAGTCAGAGAAAAAGAAGTCAGCTCACCTTTTCTCACAATCTTCTCCAGGACATTGAAATAGTTTTTCTGAGCAGCTCCACTCAAAGACGTCAGCTGGGACTTGGCAATCAACTGCAGAAGCTAAGAGAAGTAAACAGAGTGGATAAAGTGAGCGAGGATACAGAAGCCGAGCAAGTAAATCAAATGGAGAGAGGTATTCTAGCAATTGTTCAGCAGAGAACAGAACATCTTACTTTGATCACATAGTTGAATCGCCGCACATCCTGAATGGCGCTGGAAAAATCCAGACGATTGAAGGCCTCGCCAAGCGTACAGTACCCATGCCTCTGCAACAACAAACACACGGTTCGCATTTGACAAAGGTTAGAAAAGACTACCGATGGGAGAACTGTGAAATATAAACAATGACATCAAATATTCTATGACTCATGTTGTTTGTTTGCTACTCTTTGAGTCATGTACATGTCGACGCTATGACATAATTTGTCTCACCTCTCGCGTACTCTCCTTCTGAACGTAGATCCACCTCTCCTGGAAAAAAACTGAGAAAAAGAATAAGATATATTTCATCTATATACTATATTATATACATTATATAAATTCTGTCACTATTTACTCACCCACATGATGTTCCAAACTTGTATGGCATTCTCTCTTCTGTGGAACATAAAAGAAGATATTTTGAAAAATGGTGGTAACCAAACCATTTCCGTTCCCACTGACTTCCATTTTATGGGCAAAAATTATAATAGAAAACAATGGGAACTGAACCTGTTTGGTTACCAAATTTCCTTCAAAATATGTTCTTTTGTGTTCCACAGAAGAAAGAAATGCATAGAGGTTTGGAACAACTTGAGGATGAGTAAAATAATTTCCAACTGCTTAGGTTTATATGTGCATTTATATGTGATTGGCTAAGATGTTAAAAAAGACAGTAAATTAGTAATCATTACACAGTTCTCTAGAAAACTTGATTCTAATTGGTCAATTGTAGCATTCTATGGTCATATATTTTTGTACAATGACTGCTAAACTGTATAATGGCCTATTGTCCAAAGAAACTCTAGTTTACGTTTCTATATGAGATTATTGTTGTGATAATTAAGTGTGATGTAAGCAAGCATAATGTAAAAATACTTAATAATGAGTAATTATTGCACACCTCTGGGAAAAAAACAATTGTGTAATGACCACTACACTGTATAATGGCCCAAAAAAAAAATAAAAATAAAAATAAATAAATCTCACTATTAAAATTGAGATCATTGCTGTGCTGCTTTGAAACAATCTGTTTTTTTTATAACGCACTCCATAATTAAATCTGACTACACTTGTCATTTGGCATGATGTAAAAAAAAAAAAAACATATTAAATGATTAATAATTTCACAGTTCTAATGAAAAAATTATTCGGAATGGCCAACTGTAGCATTCTGTGGTCTTGTATTTTTATAAAATGACCGCTAAACAACATAACTGCCCGTTGTCCCAAAAAACTCTAATTTACCGTGAAATTTGAGATCATTGTTGTGATAATAAAGTGTGATGTAATAAAATATTGTAGATTTTTTACACTGTGACTTAGTGTTGTTGTTGAAGAAGTCCTTTTTTCTCTTCTTGGCAGCTACTTCACAGACATCTCCCACGTAGATGTTCTCCTTGTCATTGTCCAATCTGGAGAGTTAATAAGTTAAAGTTAACTATGACTATACCAAAATACGCTTTTTAGACATTACATTTCCATTTAAGAATCCTATTCAGAGCGACCTACAAAAAGTACATGATCATGTGATAAACAGATTGCAAGCATACAATTTAGACTTATCTTCTAGGAGCACTAACTTGTACACATAACTTGACACATAATGCAATAAAACATCAAACCAATGCAAGGTATTTTTAATTATTAATCCAAGTATTGCCAAATGAGTTCTGAAGATCTGAAGATGTTTTAGTTTACACAGGTGAGTCTGCGGTCTATTGTCTAGTGAAATTCAACACCGAAATCACATGTGATGCAGGAGTACACTAAAACTATCCAAACACCTACTTGCGTCCTCACACAGCCAGATGGTTTCAAATGTTCACGTTTCCTCGTAGTCTGTCTGATCGACCTCAGATCTGTTGTTTCCATGACAGCATGGTCAGACTAAGGTGTTTTTAGCTCAGTCAGTGTATCGTTGTCTGAATATATAAAAAAAACAGTTCATGGCTGTCTATTCTATGCTATTCCAGGCAATGACCACAGACGGTGAAAATAACAAACAGCAGTTCTAAACACGGATACCTGACTTCCCACATGCCGCATACACACTTCCATTTTAGTCTGTTCCTCAATGCTTTTCTGAGGTGGTGTAGCTTTGTGGTTAAAGATCGGAGGTGGTAACTGAAAGGTTGTAGGTTAGGTTATCACCCTAGAACTATCACTACATTACGCTGACATAATTCAAAGCATTTCTTACTCTTCCAAGGTAAGTTCATTGATATTGTCTCCCAGTTTGTGGTTCAAATATTCAAAGCGTTTCCAGCCGTCCTCAGTTTTGATCCAGCTCCAGCCTGGTGATCTCCAATCTTGGCCCAAGAACGGCATGTTCTTCCACCTGCTCCAGAGATCTGAATACAAGAGACTCTTATCTCAAACCATTATAACACAGCAAAGGCTTGTCACATATGTGACCCTGGACCACAAAACCAGTCATAAGGGTCAATTTTTTTTAAATTGAGATTTATACACCATCTCAAAGCTGAATAAATAAGCTTTCCATTGATGTATGGTTTGTAAGGATCGGACAATATTTGGCCGAGATACAACTATTTGAAAATCTGGAATCTGAGGGTGCAAAAAATTCCAAATATAGAGAAAACCACCTTTAAAGTTGTCCAACTGAAGATCTTAGCTATGCATATTACTAATCAAAAATTAAGTTTTGATATATTTACAGTAGGAAATTTACAAAATATTTTTATGGAACATGATCTTTACTTAATGTCCTAATGATTTTTGGCATAAAAGAAAAATCAATAATTTTGACCCATACAATGTATTTTTGGCTATTGCTACAGATATACCCCAGCGACTTAAGACTAGTTTTGTGCTCCACATATCACATGATCAAACAATATCATCATGATCTGATCAGACAACACATAATAAGTCATTCAAGGCTTTAAACGCCTTATTTCACAATCTTTATGTAAAACATTATCTTTGTAAAAACAAAAATTACGCATTTTGATGTTAATTTGTAAATTGAAGATAAGCTCTTGCTTCTTGAACAACTACTGCCAATAAATTTGCTCAAATTCAAAGCCTGCCAAGAGCCTTATCTTTTTAAACATCGACAAAACACTAAAGACAGCTCAAATCTCTACCTCTATTGTTGTTTTACTTGCAAAGTCGTGTATTTGTATTGATAACGGACGTATATTTAACTTTACTTACAGCGAGTCCTTTGTTATGGTGATAATTTTCTGCTTTTCTTTGAATATTGACGGAAGTAAACAGTCAGAAAAGCGGACTGTAAGCAACGCCTCCCGCCGTTTGTGATTGGCCGTCGGGTTTGTATTTATTTTGTTGCTACCCAAAATTCCTCAGCTGATTGGCTCTCGGTCCTGTCGATCACTCACCGCATTTATCCCGAGCTCTCCGTCTCTGCAGCTTCTTACACGTGACACGGACGCTGCACATGTTGTCATGTTTTGATTTCGTAATGGGGGAAGGGAAATGGAGAGAATGAACGATGGAATAAACTAACCAAGCATATTGGATCATGCTGCATCACAAAGTAAACATTTCACTGCTTGGTTTTGGATATAAGGAATAAATAGGCTTATATGCAATCCCCTCAGCCAGCTGTGAGTACAGAGCCTTGTGAGATAAAAACCAAATTATTAAAACAAACAAATAAAGACAATGAACAGCAGCTAGAAGATTCTTAATTTTAATGGAAGTGAATGGTTACTGTCAACTGTTTGGTTACCAACATTCTTCAAAAATCATCTTTTGTGTTCAACAGAAGAAAGAAACTCATAAGTTTGGAACAAGTGGAGAGTAAGTAAATGATACATTTTAATTTTTGCGATTTTTAATTTTAATTTTAATTAACTATCCAACAAATTAGCCCATGATTTACTCATCCTCAAGCCATAGGTGTATATGACTTTCTTCTTTCAGATGAATCCAACTGGAGTTATATTAAAAATTTATTAAAAATCTGGATATGTTTATTACAAAAACACATTGATTCACTACAGGAGGCCTTTATTCACCCCCGGAGCCGTGTTAGGCACTTTTTATTATGGATGGATGCACTTTATTGGACTTCTTTTGGGCTGTTGAACAGAAACAACTGCCCACTGCCATTATAACGCTTGGAAGAGCCAGTATAATTTTTAATATAACTGCGATTGGATTCATCTGAAAGAAGAAAGTCATACATAGAATGGCTTGAGGGTGAGTAAATCATGGGCTAATTTTCATTTTTGGGTGAACTATCCTTTTAAAGCCATTACTGATATGTAGGCCTTGTGACAATTTCCAGTATGTGACATCTGACTCATATTTGTGTCACGTAAAACCCCACCTAGATGAAAGTCTAAAATGAGCTGCAGGGTATTACAAGTCTTGCCATTAGTAAAGAACAACCAGTGAGACACAAAAACCATGCTAAAAGTTACATGCATGCTGTGAACATAAATACAAGCATTTGTGTACATAGCAGGTAACTTATATGTGTGTTTATTGCCAATAATGTGCCAGTAAGGCTTCTTGACTCCTGAATCATTTTGTACTGTAAAGAATGGACATCAGCATCAAATTGTTTCTTACTTCATAGTTATCATAAACAATGGCGGTTCGACATTGAATTACACCCTGGCCGAGACCCCCTTCTCCCTCTTCTTCTTTTCTTTTTTTTCTAAATTGGGCACCTGATGGCTTTGACCTTTTCCTGTCCATCTCTGTTTATTTGGCACTCGACAATCATGCCCCCAACACTGTCACTCACGACCAGAAGTCAAGACTAAACCAATTCACCTTGGTGACCACATAATCGTTTTGTATTACCTATTTTTATTAGCCATTTCACACAATTCAGAAAAACAAAAATGTGCAGGAACTATAGGCCTGTATTTATAATATTATGAATGAAATGTGCGTTATTTGGAAGAAAGTCGAGGTGTGACTGACTTTAGCCCACTAATTCCATTAGAGTATTGCTCTATACAGTGGATCCCCACTGTTCGTGCCGCCCCCCATGTATCATGAAAAAATGCCGCATATTCACTTATTGTGTCCATATTCAGCTGCCCGGTTCGCGACCGTGCCAAAAACCGCTACTGATCATAAAAGAGACAAATGCTAACAACTCATATTAAGACAGTAAAAATGAGAATGATTCTGACACGCGGCCACAGCTGGAGGCCAAAAAAGCTTGCGTTTCCAAAAAATTATTTAAAGTAGTGTAAAGGCCACGGACACTCCCTCTGCAAGATCTAACCTGCCACAGTCTGCATTTGAGAGGCCAGAGGGGTAAGTTTTTGTGTGCATGTGAAAACACTGCATACAATGGGTAAAAAAAAAATACATGGCAGTTGCCAAATCTTCAGTCATGTGCAAATTGATGAAAATAAGCACTGAGTTCAGTTAAGTAACAGCTGTAAAACCTGAGGTTTTTTTTATCATTATAAATATGCATTTATGGTACTTGGGCCATTGTCTGCTTCTTGAACTATCTTGAAATACAAGAGCTATAATCCAACAGATTTACAAATTATACTAAAGTAAACCGCATTCACTCTTAGATAACAGTAACAGTGCTAGAAAGGTAAGAAATTTTTTTTTGACTGATACATATGATCACATTTACATAGCATTTTTGCATTGCGTGTCAGATTGTTTGACTCAACAATGCACGCAATTTATCAAGTTACTTAAAATACCATTTCATATTTGCAAGGCACGTTGAGTCAGAGGAGATATGGCTAGACAGTCAGCAGTCAGTCAGAATAAACAGACAACTTTGCACTTATGTGACAGTGGCACAAATTAAATACACCCACACTGGGTGTGAATGTACTTGCTTTTTGTTCACCGCTTCTGCTGTTGTGCAACAATGGACAGAAGTGCTTGTTTGAAGCCATATCTTTCCATATCTCAGAACCAGGTGCTACCTTCTGCATTCCATAGCCTCGAATGTCATTTGTCTCTGTAAACTACACTGTATCCATAGATTCATGTGCAAAGGCAGTTTTCACATAACACAACAAAAATTAAACGCAAGGTAAATGCTATTCAAAAAAATCTGACTTTTAATATATTGCAAAATCAAGTAACATGATATCTAGGTAGATATAGTGGAATACTTAACCAGGATCAAGTACTGGCATGTAGAAATTGCTTAACCAAAATGGCTAAACAATACTGAGGTCCTAAAACCAGCAAGAGAATTAGCCATTTTTGAGCCATGGGTTCTCTTTGGCATTTCATATGTTTTTTTAGAATGGCACTTCTGCATTTATGAGTAAAATATGGTCTGTACAGTAGTTAGCATTCCTTTAATAAATGTTCATGTCAACATAAATTACACACAGTACGTTGCTAACAAGCTGCTAAGTAAAAACTAAAAATACCACAGGGACGTGTTTGTGCTTGACTAAACTGTTGTAGTCCTTAAATAGCAATTTGTTACAGTGGCTTTCAGGTGTGATGTATGTAATTTGTGTTGTAGAACAAAATATCAACCACAGACCTACTCACAAATCTTAGACCACAACAAATTGGTGAACAGTTAGTTGAATATGAAGGAAATGAACATATCAGATGTTGACTTTGTCAATAGATACATAGTAGCCTACTGAACGTTTTCAGTGCATATCTGTCAAGAAGCCGGGTCATTTTATGCGTGATACTTGCAAAAACGGCACTTTTAACATGACCCAAGTTAATCCAGATCTCGAAGCGTCTTTCCCGACTCCGCGGCATTTCTGCAACTGTAGAGCCACTTGATGATCCGAGCGTTGCGCTCGACAACTGATGACCCTTGACGCACGGTCTCCTGCAATTCCTCCTCGTGCAGGCCGTCGCTGCTCCTGGAGAATCCGTCGTCTGACGTCGAGACGCTGATGCTCAGGATTTTGGAGCTGAGGTTGTCCGAGCGCGCGGAGAACTTCTCTCTGCCCAGGGACTCGATGACGTCACCCTCGAGGCCGCAGTATTTGAAGAACGCGTCGAAGTCCGCGAAGTTTTTCGAGTAGCGCGAACTGATGTCAGAGCTGGAGCGCGCCACCCCCCTCCGGCTCTTGCGCTCCTGCTCCTGGGTTTCTGCGACTATCCTGTGAGGAGGTCCTCTCGGCAAATCGTTTGTCTCACCCGAGTGGCCGTTTGAGATGGGTAAATTTACCCGAGGGGCCTCTTTCCCGCAGTCCCTGCGTGTGGCGCATTCACCACCGCGCGCCTCAGAAAACGCGTTTGTCTTGTCTTTAATAGCGAATAACGACTTTTTAATTAATCTCCTACTCCCGCCAGGCGATCCTCTCAAGAGTTCACACTTCTGTCTGTATAATAAAATCGAGTCTCGTTTCTTCGAGCTGCTCCGTCTCACCACATTACTATCTTCTTCAGGCGACTGTATAGCCTCAACATCAGCACGAGCGGCGTTATTAACGGAACCGTGCCCGTTTGAAGACCCTCGGCTGCTCACGGAGGCAGACCCGATGCTGATAACCGGAGTGGAACCGACCACTTGTTGGCTTTTTACATATTGAGGTTTAGTGGCTGCCAGCCTCTCCACCGCACTGACGCGTCCTTTATTCGCCTCGCTTTCTCGCTCCATCTGTCTCCTCAAAAATTCGGGCCCCTTCACAAGAATGCGCGACGCGTCCACGTCGACCAAGCCTTGCGTTTTCTTCAACATGATGCAGTCTGGATTAGTATTTTGTGTTAAATCCACAACAGCTGTGTTGCGAAATGTGTTGAGGGGTCTGAAAGTTAGTACATAGTAGATGAGAACGCACTGACGCACACCTTTACCTGTTCATATTACTCATCTACTCCACCCACTAACAGGTCAAGGAAACGCGAGCTCTGGCACGAGGCAAAGGTAAGGAAACGTTGATTGTGACTTAACGTTTTCAGAACAGGGCTTGCAAATACTTTTAAATCTCTAAAGCATTTTTTATAATATTTAATTTTATAAGAACCCTCATGTCATTTTCCATTAATTTTGACCCAGAGAGGATTTTATTTTCCCTGATAATGTTAACTTACTAACTTTACTCACACAAGGTATAACAACGTTCCAGGAAAATTTGGATACTTTTAGTACTTTTTTAGGATTTCTTTCCCACCTTGTTGTAATGTTCCTGGTCAAAAATGACATGCCTAAAAAAATTGCTTGTAAATCTCTCTAAAAAAAAATGTTATATTATCATTTGTATTATCTCTTTTGTCAACTTGCTTTCTTTCAGTTAGCACAGGTTTTGTTTTTCTTTTTGAAACTGATTTTTTTGTCCATTTTTTTTTTTTACTAAAAAATCTGAGGTGGGTCAGCTCAGATCTTTGAGTACAATCAATCAGTTTCAAAAAAGAAAAACAAAACCTGTGCTAATTGAAATAAAAGAAGCTGACAAAAAGATCCAAGATTTGGTGATAATATAGCATAATGAGAGATTTACAAGCAATTTATGATCAGGAACACCAAATTAGGAGTACCAGCAAATCACAAGGGTTAAACCGTAAATAAATTTAAGGGAGGCTGGGGGTATTGTCAAACCTTTATAATCCAGGTAATATTTCTCAAGGTGTGAAATACAGTTCATTGATATTTTGTGATAACCGATATCTTTTAAAAAGAATTTCATTCTTGACCTGATTCTTGTTTTTTTTTTCTCAACATCTGTTTATGCATTGTGTGGCCTGATTCAGTAATATTTCTCCCTTTGTGCAGGGTTGTAATGTCAAACAAAGTATAAAAAAAGGCAAACATCTTTTGACATCTGACCTGCTAAATGTTTGTTTGTTGTATCCTTGTGCATATGGGACTATCAAAAGTGGTCATTTCATAAGTGTTATCATGTGTCTGTACCTAATAAAAAGAAGCAAAACATATGCACTACACATACAACTTAATTGGGTTACACTCCTACTCTAATTAAAACCATTCTACAGATTTAGATTAATGTCAGAGAAACATCTAGATGAATGCAGGATCTCCATGAAACCAGGAGATGGCAGCAGACATGAGGAGGTGATGTACTGTTTGTGTATGAGAGCAAGAGAGTGTATGGTGAGCAGTTACTTAATAACATTTAATAAGTTATACCTAATTTCGGATCAGTAAAATATATTAGAATTCCTCTGGGTTTTTTTCAGCCATATTCTTATCATTTTTATTTGGTGATCAATAAAATGACCAAAACAACTCTGGCCAGTAAGCATTCACTGAGAACACCCTAGCAACTACATAGCCACACATCAAAAACCACTGTAACAACCCCATATCAACACCCTGGCAAGACTTTTTCCAGACTGGATTCCTGTGGAGTGTTTGTGCATTGCGCAATGTGCAAAATGCACTAAATTGCAGACTTCATAAAGCAACTGTCCATTTAGCGTAACCCAGAATTAATTTCTTCACTCAACCCAGAGTCAGAACCAGGAATTTGTGCAGATGTAATTTATGTGTTTTAAAGTGCCTGCTGTGCAGTTAGCTGGAAATTATCCAAGGCAATAACAGTACACTAAAACCAATATATGGCTTCTCTGACCTCAGAGCATCCAGAATTGTATGTTGATCCAGACGAGCTATAGGGTGAGATTCATTATCATGTCAGTCTGGTCTGAAACATGCAAACATCTTTAAACCTTTAGCATTCTGCATCACTTATACATCGCTAAATAACTATAATTGTTTATAACTTTTCTCCAAAATTCAGAGCCCTCTTCATCGCATGTGAATTATAACATGTGAAACCACAGTATGACAAATTACAACCAAAACCATGACCTTCCATTACCTTGTTTACACATCTCACAAAGCAAATGGTTATGATATGTCCATTCCAAACCTTAGAATGATCACTCAAGGTCTTTCTGAACAAATATATGAGTGATTCCAGACATGATCTCTGATAGGAAACAGCAATCCGATTATTGCATGACCTTCAAGGTTAATCATTTAGGTCTGGAGTGAGGTATGATTATGTCAGCCTCAACGCACAACCTCTACTAGATTGGCAAGGGTATTTAGGTCTTGAATAATGCATCACTGATGTCCACAGGACCAAATGATCATCTTTTTTTAAAGACCAGAGTTTACTGAAGATTTAAAGGAATAGTTCATCTAAAAGGAAAATTATCTGATAATGCATTCACCGTCAGGCGTTCCAAGATGTAGATTAGTTTGTTTCTTTATCTGAACAGATTTGGAGAAATTGATCATTACATTACTTGCTCACCATTGGATCCTCTGCAGTGAATGGGTGCCGTCAGAATGAGAGTCCAAACAGCTGATAAAAACATCACAGTAATCCACAAGTAATCCACACCTCTTCAGTCCATCAATAAATGTCTTGTGAAGTGATAATATGTGTTTGTAAGAAACAAATCCATCATTAAGGCATTTTAACATTAAAGTGTCACTTCTGAGTACATAATCTATAATAAAATTTCCTCCAGTGAAAAAGTCCATTCCCTGTTGTCTTCTCACATCAAAATTCACCGACATATTTGTTTAGAACTGTTTTGGACTGTTTTCGCTTGTAAACGGTGCTTGATCTGTGAATATTTCTCTCCTGATTCAGACGAGATGACATTTTCACTGGAGAAAGAAATATTGTATATAGAGTACTCATATTTTAGCTGGAAGCAACAGTTTGAAGATAAAGCTGTTTTAATGTTGGATTTGTTTATTAAAAACACCCCACTAATGGATAATTTATGTTTTCATCAGCTGTTTGGACTCTCATTCTGACGGCACCCATTCACTGCAGAGGATCCATTGGTGAACAAGTGATGTAATGATACATTTCTCCAAATCTGTTAGGATGAAAAAACAAACTCATCTACATCTTGAATGGCCTGAGGGTGAGTCAATTCTCAGATGAGTTTTCGGATGAACTATTCCTTTAAGAAAAGTTCAAATTCGGAAACAAGTTTAACATTCACTCAAATCTGAATGGTATTTTCTGCAAACAGCATATTGTGTCCGTATGCAAGGCTAAGGATGTTAATGTGAAGACATAATTAATGAAAGTTCCAAGATTTGCTCGTTGCCAAAGAAGATTTGTGTGCCGAGCAGCTGCAAACCAGCTGAATTTCAGTTTGTGAATACAGCATGTATGAGCTGCACAGATCAAGTCGTATAGATCAATATCTGTTGTGTTGCATAATCCAGTCAGTCAAAACCAATAGAATGACTATGTCAATGAATATCGGATTTGTTGTTGTACAGAGAATCTATTCTGGATCTCTCAGTAAGTTGGATTCATACATCACCTCCCTTAAAGTTTGGCAATGCTTTAGTCACTGACCCTGGAATATGGTTTTCATTATATCTCTAACTGGTCATTCTCTTTGACAGGTTATGCATCAACGCCAAAACAGGAAAGCTGACAAACCTATTAGTATCTCTAGAGTGGAATTATTTACCTACAAATAATGTCATTTATCTATAGCAGGGGTCACCAAACTCGGTCCTGGAGGGCCGGTGTCCTGCAGAGTTCCAACTCTAATCAAACACACCTGAACCAGCTAATAAAGGTCTAACTAGGCATACTTGAAACCTCCAGGCAGGTGTGTTGAGGCAAGTTAGAGCTAAACTCTGCAGGACACCGGCCCTTCAGGACCGAGTTTGGTGACCGCTGCTCTATAGTCTTCAATGTCACATGATCCTTCAGAAATCATTCTAATGTTCAAGCCACTGCCCCTTTAATTGTCAGTGCTAAAGTGCCTTTTCTGTCCTGTCGAGGGGACCCTACACTCTTAAAAATAAAAGTGCTTCACGATGCCATAGAAGAAACTTTTTGTCTAAATGGTTCCATAAAGAACCTTTAAAGCCTTTAAAAACCTTTAAAACCTTTGAAGAACCTTTCTGTTTCACAAAAGGTTGTTTGTGGCGAAAGAAGGTTCTTCGGATTATAAAAAGGTAAGAAAGAGGTGGTTCTTTAAAGAACCTTTGACTGAATGGTTCTTTGTGGAACCAAAAATGGTTCTTCTATGGCATCGCTTGAAGCACCTTTATTTTTAAGAGTGTAGAACACGATTTCTACAGGCCGGGCAGCTGACTGAATAATACTGCAATCTAAACTTGTTCTAAATATGGTCTGGAAAAAAGGACTTTCCCACAACCTGACCACCTAGATCTGTATATGATATTGTGCTCTTTAAGGGGATAGTGATACCAATAATAGAATCGGGACAGATTAGGCTTATGAAAGCCTGAAAAAACATCAGAGAATAAAAAGAGTTTCTTAGTCATTACTGTGTAGCTTACTGGCAAAACATAATATGAAACCTTTACTCGAAGATGGGCTCTGGATCCTCTATGTGATACACTTTATGTGCCACATTAGATGCAGTGTATGTTCTGCCTTTACAGTGTAAATACAACAAATGGGCCTATGTGATTTTTTTTCGTATGTTGTTGGAACAGATGCCTCTTGTCACAGGGACAGTATTGCCAGTTGTGTAGGAATATGTCTTATAATGTGTGAGAGAGAGGATGAAAGTGAAAGTGTGAGTCAGGCTTTTGCTTTATTTATGTTATGAAATACTGTCAGCTACGGAAGTCCTAAGAGGCCATGGATTAGTAATATTTTTCTGTCTCGTTTTCTCGTGATCGCGACTTAATTATCTCGTAATCTCGACATGACATAAATTGTTTTCTTGTGATCGCAACTTGATTATCTTGTGATCTCGACATAAGATATTTTCTCTGATCGCGACTTAATTATCTCGTGATCTCGACATAAGTTGTTTTCTTGTGATTGCGACTTAAAGGGATAGTTCACCCAAAAATGAAAATTTGATGTTTATCTGCTTACCCCCAGGGCATCCAAGATGTAGGTGCACTTTGTTTCTTCAGTAGAACACAAATGATGATCATCCGGTGCGTGAGGTGTGTACGCGCTCTGGCGTAGTTATACGACTGATAGACTGCAACGGAGTTAAAAATCATCATTTGTGTTCTACTGAAGAAACAAAGTCACCTACATCTTGGATGCCCTGGGGGTAAGCAGATAAACATAAAATTTTCATTTTTGGGTGAACTATCCCTTTAATTATCTTACGATCTCGACATAAGTTATTTTCTCTGATCGCGACTTAATTATCTAATGATTTCAACATAAGTTGTTTTCTCGTGATCTCGACATATCAAAAGTTGTTTTCTCGTGATCACGACTTAATTATCTCGTGATCTCGACATAAGTTGTTTTCTCGTGATTGCGACTTAATTATCTCGTGATCTCGACATAAGTTGTTTTCTCGTGATCTCGACATATCAAAAGTTATTCTCTCGTCATAACGACTTAATATTTTCTCATGATCTCGACATAACAAAAGTTAATTGTTTTCTCATTATCACTACTTAATTTTCTGGTGATCTCGACGCAAGTTGTTTTCTTGTGATCGCGACTTAATTATCTTGTGATCTCGACATAAGTTATTTTTTCTGATCGCGACTTAATTATCTCTTGATTTCGACATAATTTCTCGTGATCGCGACTTAATTATTTTGTGATCTCGACATATCAAAAGTTGTTCTCATTATCACGACTTGATTTTTTTCTTGATCTCGACATAAAAAAAGTTAATTGTTTTCTCATTATTACAACTTTATCTCGTGATCTCGACATAAGTTGTTTTCTCGTGATCTCGACATATGAAAAGTTGTTCTCTCGTCATCACGACTTAATATTTTCTCTTGATCACGACTTAATTTTTTTCGTGATCTCGACATAACAAAAGTTAATTGTAATTACACAACTGCGCCAACAGGTGAGCTGAATATAACAGATGGGGTGTTGCATACTGTATATCCACTTTACTGTACGCGTTTGGGACAGAATTAGGACCTTATTTGTGATCGCAATTTGCAGTAGCCCCTCACTGCAGAACACAAGATCCAGGGGGCGTGGTTGGATCCGGGTGGAGATTGGTAGGTTTAGGGGTGGAGATGGATGGGTTTAGAGATCAGGGGGTGGAGATGGGTAGGTTTAGGTATATGTAAGATGGGAGGAGTTGGATCTGGACCACGCCCCCTGGATCTTGTGTTCTGCAGTGAGGACCATCTCGCAATTTGTGCAGTATTGTTCACAGTGTTGGGGGTAACGCATTACAAGTAACGCGAGTTACGTAATCAGATTACTTTTTTCAAGTAACTAGTAAAGTAACGCATTACTTTTTAATTTACAAGAGAATATCTGAGTTACTTTTTTTTTCCAATTTATTGATTGACAGCTCTCCTGTCCCCATGTTGAGAGAAATCAGAAGATGTTACTGTAGTTCTAAAATAAATATGAATATGCATTAATTCATCTCACTCACAAAAAAAAATTATGTATTTAATCCTATTCTATTAATCAATGTCTTTGCTTCTGAGCTTCGATGATCCAGTTCAACCGTACTAATAAGCAAAAATGACTCTAGACAAACATTTGTGTGTCTTTTTTTATTGCTGAAGTGTGTTGAAATTTCTTCTTCTGCATTCTACTGTACGGACGTAAATTTACTTTCCCTTCAGCCTGAGGCTTACTCGTTTCACTTTTGGTGTGAAAAGGCTTTTATATTTGCCAAAAATATGCTTTTTTATTTTAAAAACAAACAAGCAAGCCCTGTCCAGATTTAAAAATTAACGCAAAAGTAACATAACACATTACTTTCCATAAAAAGTAACTAAGTAACGTAATTAGTTACTTTTTTATGGAGTAATGCAATATTGCAACGCATTACGTTTAAAAGTAACTTTCCCCATCACTGATTGTTCATTACTGACATTTAATTAACTCAAAAATGTTAAATGCTTGATTCAATATGATTATATTGTGAATCTGTTTATATTGTGAATCCAGATCACGAGAAAACAAGAAAGAAAAATAATCATAATCCATGGCATTTTAGGACTTCTGTAGGCTACCAATCTGGCTAATCTTGATGAATTTGGAACAGGCGGTAACTTGGACAACCCTCAGCGGTGGTGCGGGGACCTTTAATAGTGACCAATATGGCGACTCCCAGTGGAAGGTCGGTGTTGTTCGTGTGCTTGGGTAAGAAAGTTGATAAAATATTGCCAGACCTTCTTTGATTTGATGTGTGTTAAGGCAACATTACGGCTGGAGAAAACGGTCAAATTATCATCACTGTTTCAGTCAATGATCACTGTTTCACCGGCCTCATTCAGTGAGATAAAAATCTGTCATCGTGAGCTCACATACTGGCAGATTGCAAACACGCGTATCTCATCCAGTCATACATCAATGAACACATCGCGTTAATATTGGCGTGAGAGCCTAGTAGCATAACCTATGTATATGTTTTTCATCATTGATCACCCATATGTTAATTCTCTAAGCACTAGTTTGGCCTTTTTCTACTTGCCTCAGTTGAGTCATGCTGCTGAACACAAACTAACCCCGTTTATTGAGATTTCTTATTTTCATAATGCCATTCGGATACGTTTTGATATTCCCGCTGCAGTTTGCATAAGATGTTATGCTTTATAGACTTTGGATTTGTTTTTGTTTTGTTGTTTTCAACATATAATAAAACAACAAAACCATATTCGTATGCTTGGGTAAAATGTATAAGTAAACACTACTTTTCAAAAGTTTGGAGTCAGTAAGTTTTTTGTGTGTGAAGAAAACAGTACTTTCATTCAGTAAGGATGTGTTAAATTATCAAAATTGACAGTAAAGATGTTTACAGTGAAAAAAAAACGTCAATTTCTATGTTCTTTTCAATTTTCTATTCAGCGAGGAATCATGGGGGAAAATGTATCACAGTTTCTAAAAAAAAAAAAGTAATGTAAGCAGCACAACTGTTTTCAACATTGATAATAAGAAATCTTACTTGAGCATACCAATGGTGGTGTATATATATATACATTTACAAAATGTATAAAGCAAACAAGGAAAAATAAGTCTATAGTAAGATCAGTCTTAAAATATACAGATTTAGTGTGCTTTGCTATGCTGTTTGTCAAGTTAACTTAACATAATGCTTGATTTTCTATATGGCAAAAAAAAGTGATATTGTGCACATGTTTGTGCATATGGCATTTACTCAGAATAATTAGATCACATGTAATCCTTGCCTACTAAAATAATAAATTTCTTCTTCCCTTTCCTCAATACCCAGGGAATATCTGCAGATCCCCGATCGCTGAGGCTGTTTTCCGGAAAATGGCCACAGACAATGGGGTGGTGGGCAAGGTAAGTCGCTGCATGTGGTGCTGCTTTTACTCAATGAGCCGAGGTATACATCAATATGTGCTCCTGGCTTACTAAGACTCACAACTAATCGCATGTGCTTTAGTGAACTGATTGTGACAATGCATCATCTTCTGGATGAAAGTTATTGGCTGGTCTTGAAGTTTGTTAATATTAAGTGATCTAGCAGGTATGTAACAAAGCGACATCTGCACTCCAGAGCTAAAGCACTTCATAAATATTTTGAGGTACTTTCAGCCTTGCACCTCATGTATCCTTTGGTTGCGAGTATCAGTATCATGATCATGCTTATTTTCCAGGTACGTTTGCTCTTGTGGAGATTTGACTTTATTTCTAAGGTTGCACAAGAGACAAACATGAAATCATAAAAAAAATTTGCTGTTCAAAAAGTTTGACAAGGAGAATAAGAGTCAAAGCCTCATGAGGCAAAATACAAAGAACCGGTGTCAGATTCATTCCAGCCTCAAAGTTTAAGGCCAGAAATATTCAAATATGAAAACTTGGCCACCACGGTCCCATTGTACATGCTTAACTTGTATTTTTGCTGCAGTAACAAACCGCTATATGGTAACATAGTTCTTCAAAAAATTCAGTTTGTGTGCGTTTATACATATTTGTGTGTATTGCTGTTATCATCATAATGCCTTATGTGTGTGTGTCTTCAGTGGAGAATAGACAGTGCCGCCACGTCCACCTATGAGATCGGAAACCCCCCGGATCACCGCGGTCAGGCCTGCATGAAGCGACACGCCGTGTCTATGAGGCACGTGGCGCGGCAGGTACGGTGGGGTCCTAATTAGCACTCAAAGCTAGAACCGTGTTCTCTGTGTGTGTTACAGTGGGTTATAGACTCTGGTGCCACCTCAGATTGGAATACTGGCAGCACTCCTGATGCCCGTGGTCTGGCCTGCCTCAGGAAACATGTCATAGAGACAGATCACAGGGCACGACAGGTACTGCAGATGTGGGATTTTGTGTGTACGTGTGTTATAGAATGAGTGCAAGAAGCTTTCAGCAAAGTAGATGACACATTTATCATAATACCACTCATATGGAAACCTCAAATGTACACAACTGAAGCCAATTTTGGCAGGAGAGCTTATGTTAGCATTATCTAATCACAATTTACAGCCAAAGGCACTTCATCTTTGTCACACACCATAGATTTTTTATCTTTTTCCGTATTTTTAAATTCTTGCTTATAAATTGATTTTGACAGGCATCCACTGCCTATCTGTTGTTGACCCCTCTTCTCCATCTCCCTCTGTGTTTTCTGCCATTTTTCATCTTTCTTGTACATTTCCTGGGGAAAATTCTCCACAGAGTTTGTTGTTTTGAATTGGCTTCCAAGTAGTGTTTGGTCGGTATTTTGATAAAAAACAGTTGCTCCGTAATGTATCATCAACATATCCTTCATAGCACATACATAAATCATAAAGACATCTTTTTTAAAGAAAACTTTCTTTCCAGGGAAACCATACTGGTGCTGCTACAGGGCAGAAAACGCAACTGTCCCACAAACAAACATAGCATTTTTTTTAAATTGTTCTTTTTGTTTGTTAAAGCCTGTTCGATAACTAACAATAACTATATTAGCGTCCACACCAATGCACAGTAACTTTGTTTATCATAAGTGCGCACTGCTGTTATGTGGTCTGTCGCTTTAATTGCTTAAGCACTTTAAAGTTAGTGGATTTTGATTGGCTATAAATGTTTTTTATCGTTCATCAGCTGGAAAGTGATTCCAATGGTATCGCTCCTCTGAATTGCGAAATGTAAACTCAGAATGTGAGATGTAAACTCAGAATTGCAAAATAAAATAAAAAAAACATCAGAATTCTTTTTTCTCAGAATTGTAAGAAAAAAGTTGCAATTACCTTTTTTTATTCTTTTTTTTCTATACATTATCGTGACTGCAGTAAATAAACATAAAACAACTTTAATGTTATCCAAATTCACTCTGGTGATGTCTGAACTTTATTTTATTTCCTAGAAAGCATTTTCGTAGATGTGAACAGCTACACACGTATGCCAAGGTCACTAAATCTGACAAGGCCGCATTAAAGTTTTTCTGAAATCCATTTCCTTTTTAATACAATATTTAATCATTTGGGAATGGAGGATACTAATTGTTAAAGTTTTGCAAGCAAAATTTTTGCTCAATCTCACTTGATAAAAGACTTCAGCTGCTCATCATTGTATCATTGTATATTATATTATATTATTGTATTGTACTATATTATATTATATAGTTTCAAAAACAGAATGGTAAAAAAAAATTATGATTATAATGATAAAGCAAGCAATAGCACTCATACAGCTTGTCTAAAAAGATTGTTTTATGAAGTAAATGAACTCGTTGCGAAAGCGAAAATACTTTGTTTGGCCTTCCAAAAGAGGACACAACTAGAAGTGTTTCTAGTAATCAGTGTTTCAACACTGTTCCTGAACAGTTCAACCCAAATATTCAGATGTCTTGTTTCTGACGGACCAAGGTGCAAAGACACTGACAAAACAAGTATACACACGTGTTCATGACAACAGGGATCAAACATAAGAGCACATTAAATATAACAAGCAATAAACATGACGCGCACAATAAATATAACAAGGCAGAAGTGTTGAGGTAGAGGTAGAAATGTGAAATTGCAGGAATGTAAGAAATGTTAGAAGTGTAAGAATAAAGTGCTTGTGCACAATTGAGGTGGCTCAGAGCAGATATTACACCAAGTACACAAAATTATGTTTTTTTTAGCAACATCATATGACCCCTTTAAAGCAAATCGCAACCTGTATGGCACATGCAATAACTTTGCAGCTTCATTGAAACTTGTCAAATGTTAAGTTGGCCGCTGCATCACCTTGCCTGAAATATACATTGTTTGACCTATTACTGTCAGACTAAGAGAAACTCCTAACTCGCGTGCTTTCCACCCACATATTCCAACCGTCAGTCAGATATCCCAGTCATGTGGGTAGGCTTTAGTTCGGCCTTTAGAGGTCAGGTTCACACGAGGCTGTATAGAGCTGAGCTCACACTAAAGACATCTTTGTCCCGTTGACCTCACAAATCAACAGCCCCCAATTATACAAGAAAGCCCATGTAGCCAGGCAGGCATTCCTTGTTTTTCCCCTTCACGTATGTGTCCAGTTTTTGCACTTTGTTGTTTTTGTAAATTGGAAACATATATTCCTATTATGACTGACTCTGCACGGTAACGTCCCAAATGAATCATGTGTTCTTGCTCAAAATATGCACACACTTACATGCAGCCACAGATATGCTTTGATCCGTTTCTTAACTCTATGTGTCTCGAGTGAGGGGAGCGAATGTTCGAACAGACAAAGACAGCATCTACTCGCTCTCTGGCCCTTTGCTCATGTTCCCTGGTGCTTGTCCAAGCCAGCGTCGTGCTCTTTTGGCGGCAAAAGACAGGAAGAATTAGAGAGGAAAATGGAGAGAGAGGGGGGTGGATGTGGGCCGAAATCACTGGCCCATGCTTAATGGGTCACCGCAGGGCAATGTGAATGAAGTGTTACAAGTGTTACTCATACGGTCTTTCTGTTGTTAGGTCACCAAAGAAGACTTCATGACTTTTGATCACATCCTCTGCATGGACGAAAGCAACTTGAGGTATGTGCAGGGGTTCAATTGGTATTTTGGAGGTGGGAAAACCATAAATCTGGTTATTCTGGTGCCTTATGTAAGATAAAACACTCTCGCCCAACCCCAAAAGCATTACCTTAAAATTTGTATTATACAATGTTATGATATATTAAAAAAGAAAAAAAAGTATCAAACAATATAAGTCTTTACTATCACTTTTTTTTTTTTATCAATTTAACACATCCTTGCTGAATGAAAGTATTTGTTTCTTTCAAAATTAGAAAGAAAAAAGTTTATTGAAACCAAACTTTTGAAAAGTAGTGTTTATTGTTACAAATTTTATTTTATTTTAAATCCATGCATCAAAGAATCCTGGAAAAACCTATCACAGGTTCCAAAAAATATTAATCAGCCCAACTGTTTTCAACATTGATAATAAATCAGCATATTAGGATGATTTCTGAAGGATCATGTGACACTGAAGACTGGAGTAATGGCTGATGAAAATTCAGCTTTGCGTCACAGAGATAAATTATATTTTGAAGTATATTGAAATAGAAAACTGTTACTTTAAATTGTAATAATATTTCACAATATTACATTTTTTTTTCTGTATTTTTGATCAAATAAATGCACCCTTGATGAGCAGAAGAGACTTCTTTAAAAACATAAAAATTCTTACTGATCCCAAACTTTTGAATGGCAAATAGATAGATAAATGCTACCGTTCAAAGAAATTAATACTTTGGTTCAGCAAGTACACATTAAATTGATCAAAAGTGACGGTAAACATTTTTTTATTGATACAAAAGATTTCTATTTTAAATAAATGCTGTTCTTGTGAACTTTTTATTCATCAAAGAATTCTGAAAAAGTGTATCATGGTTTCCACTAAAATATTAAGCAGCACAACTGTTTTCAAAATTGATAATAATAAAAAAAAAAATTCTTGAAGCACATCAGCATCACATGAACAAATTACATTGTAAAATATATTAAAATAGAAAAGTGATTTTAAAAAAATAATTGTATTAATATTTCCCAATTATACCATTTAACTGATTTTTTATTTATTTATTTAACACTTTTTTGTTGTTGTTGTTTTTTACACTTTTTTAAATATATTCCAAGATCTATTTATTATTAAATATTATAAGGCTATTCGTCTCTTGTCTATATTACTGGCTGCCTTTTACTTCTACTACTATGTGTTTCTGGCACTTTCTTGTTTTATCCTCCTCAAAGGGATATTTTGAGGAAACATTTGCTGAGAATTTGAGAAAAGTGGGACTGAGTTTGCTTCTCATTGGGTTCACAAGTACAAAAGTGATGAGCAGCAATGAGGCCCTTGACATTTGCTGAGCGTAGGAAATGACTCCCACCTTATCTCTTAACCTGTCTTCTGTCATAGGAATGATGAGTGAAACTGAGTGAATGAATTATACATTACATGGATCTGTCAACACTGCAGAATGCAACAAACATTCTGTAGCCGTACCTTATGAGTCTGATATGGGTAAGAAAATGAAGTAAAGGGGGCAGGATGTGGGGGGATATTTTTGGAGTCACAAGTTCCTGCTGGAACTGGCGCTATTAAGAAGATTACTGAGTTCTTTAGATTCCTTGTCTTTGCTCTGTGGTTCTAGGTCTCAGCTTTTCTCTTCTCCGATGCTCAGCACGACGGACTGACACAATATCATCTCGCAGTCACGCTTAGCGATGATTGTCTGTCTTGGGTTAATCAGAGTTGAAAATATACACATGAAGTCATCAATTCTTGTATTTTTCCTTCTGTATTGTGACGTTATGTGTGTAGGTGTATGGGTGTTAATGGTTAAAGGTCTGAGACGTTAATTCTTAAGGTCATAGGTTCAGACCTGGAAGGGATGATCCCTGAACTGGAGAGTTAATGAGACCCCCTCCTGGTCAAGATGCCAGACCCCCAGCACAAGTATTACAAGTGTGTCAAATATTCCTTGAGATTCCTGCATTCTGTGTTTATTCCTCTGATGCAGAGCTGAATTTTCAGCATCATTGCTTCAGTCTTCAGTGTCACATGATCCTTCAGAAATTTTTGATTTGCTGCTCAAGAAACAGTTGTATATATATATATATGTGTGTGTAAAAGTTTTACTGTTAAGTTGACACTGTATTTTTTTATTCATCACTGGAGCACTTTTAGATGCATAAACCCAAAGAGAAATATTAAATTATGGCTGTCAATAGAATAAAATATTTTGTAATTAATCCATGTTATTAACTATGACTTTTGCCCCAATAACTCCTAATTTGCTGCTTATCAATAGTTAGTAAGGTAGTTGTTACGTTTAGATATGAGGTAGGATTAAGGATCTAAAATATGGTCATTTAGAATGAGGCATTAATATGTGCTTTATAAGTACTAATATGCTAATAATATGCATGCTAGTTATTAGTGAAAATTGGTCCTTAAAATAAAGTGTTACCATTTATCTGTATTCTATTTTTTCACACTATTTTTCTCTCAAGTTTGAAAACTAGAGAGAAAGCGGATCTGTGTGTGTTCAGACAACCCACCGACTCATTTGAAGATCTGTAGTTTTGCACATCCTTAGTAGTTATTGTTTGTTTTTAAAATCCTTGTTGTTCATGATCAGTCACACCAGCTATCACTACCTAGGCACTGTTATGTGTGTTATGAATAATTAATTTTTTTCAGCTGTTTGGTGTGTGTTGTAATGTCTTGCTCCTGTGAGACTTGCAGAAAGAACGGTCAGATCCTGTCAAGTTTCATTGCTGCTTAAATCATATTCCTGAATTAGTCTGAAAGAAAAGAAGAGATCGCACCACTGATATGAATCAGTCCATTGGCTGCACAGGATCTAAAGTTTGTGTGTACGGTTTTCTTACAGAGATCTGAACAAGAAGGCAAGCAGCGTGAAAAACAGCAAAGCCAAGATTGAGCTGCTCGGGTCCTTCGATCCTGAAAAACAGCTTATTATCAAAGACCCGTACTATGTAAGTGTACACACATGCACACAGCAGGATCAGCCCCAATGCCTGGTCATTTATTGCCAAATACTCAATCAAAGTGGCAAAAAAGGCCCAAAATAAAATGTATATGATATCTTAGGGTTCATCTGACACTCACTATTCCAGCTCAGTCTGACTCCAGCTGTTAACTAGTGTGGGAACCGCTTTGGTAACATTGGTAGATTATTTCGATGTTTCCCACAACAATCACTCCCTTTTAACATTTCTTCTTGTATGATTCATAATGATTCATATTTTCACGTTTTGGATATTACTTATTTGGATGTTGAAATACTTCTATCCAAGGTAGACATGTGACAACTGTAGGTAAGGTTGCTTTTCTCAAAGACTTGAGAATTCTGACTTTGACAGACAGCATTGACTCGACCAGTGGTGTGAGTTTGTGGGCGGGACTAATTATTTGTTTCGATTTATTTCACCAGTGGTCGTCACTTTTTGCATTTTCATGCTAGTAGGGGTCCTCGTGTATTCAAAGCCGTATGACTTTCTTTCTTGGAAGACAAAAAGAGGATTTGTTTTAAAAACGGTTTGCTCTTGTCCATGCAGTTACAGTGAATTGGTGCGTTCAAATCATTTCAGAAAGGTCATATTTACAAGTTGAACGCACATGAGCAGCACAGCAAAGATGTAATTACGAGTGAGGAACTTTCTTTAAGCCCAGAGTTTCCGAATTGGGGGTGTATCAGTGAGAAAATATTGTAGATGCAATAAATGCAGCGTCTCTGTAAATTTGTTGAAATGAATTAAATCATTATTTTTTTTCCAATTACAATAAACCTAGCTAAGTCACGTACAAAATACCATAGTATTGTACCATTATGATAGAATATATAATAATTCCATTTACAGCACCTTCATAAATTGAATATAAATGAAAAAGCTAAAGTTTTATGAAGTGGATGAACTGATTCATTGAAAAGATCCGACTCAAAAGAATAAATTTTGAGTTGATTGAATCAATCAGGATCAAGAACCAATCAGACATTGCTCATGATTTGGACATATTTCTATAATTAAGTTTCTTTAATGAGACCTAGGGTGAAGATCAGGATTTTTAGTGAATAATGACTAAAGATTTGGAATATAGCACACACGTTGTATGGACCACTTTTATGATGATTTCGCATCCTTTTTGATGAGAGATTTAGCTAGGGCTGGGCAATTTTTCAGATTTTATTGACTAATTTGAATATAATGTTTTGCCACGATTATGTTTTTCAAACCGAGGAGTTGCAGTTTCATGCGCGGGATGCTGCAAAAGACACATGCGCAACACGTCATGGAATAAACAATGGAAAAGCAAAAACTACTACTGTATGTTTGATATTTCATATTTGCATGATGGTGACAGGCTGAAAGGCGCTGTTATTTTTGTTTTACATAACATTTAATAGTCTACTGATGTTAAACTTTTAGGCATTTTTCATTGAATTGTTTTGACATTTTGAGTTGACTAGGGATGCACCGAAATGAAAATTCTGGGCCGAAGCCGAAAACGAACAAAATGAAACACTGGGCCGAATACCGAACATTTTTTCGGTTTTTCGAGTTTTTTTCCCCATGTATTTTTGCCTATTTGTATTCACCATTGCATAAATTAAATAGCACCAAAATTTCAGCATCATTGCTTCAGTCTTCAGTGTCACATGATCCTTCAGAAATTTTTGATTTGCTGCTCAAGAAACAGTTGTGCTGGTTAATATTTTTTTCAGGATTCTTTGTAAAATAAAGCATTCAAAAGAGCAGTATTAACTTGAAAAATAAATCTTTTAAACATAAATGTCTTAAATGTCAATTTTGGTAAATTTACTACACCCTTGCTGAATAAAAGTAGTAATTTATTTCAATAATGATAAAAAAAATTTAAAGACTTACTCGAAACTTAGTTTATAAAACATATATATATATAT